TCCTGGTCACCACGGGTGCACACCAGAAGGATGCAGCTCCTCAGCCATACGAGCAGCCCTGTGAGCTCAAAATGTGTCTAAGGGTCTTTTGGACTGGAGGTCCACTTATGAGTTGAAGACCAGCATAGCTAGTAGTTTGAGTAGGGGAAAACATACAGAAATACACCTTAAGAAGTATCAAAATGACTCAGCCAAAAGGCTGGAAGGAGACACACAGAGTAATCTGCATGTAAAGCCCCAGCCAGGGTGAGCAAGTCACGCCTGAACAACTGCTTTGTGGAGTGGGAGAATAACTACAAGTGAAAGAGCTGAAACACAAGAGGCAGATCTCCACCAAGTTGTAGCTGTTGGGGCTGCAGCTTGAGAACCAGCAGAGTAAGGATGTAAGGGAATAAGTGCCTGAATTGCCTGGGCCTTAGATCACAACATGGTAGAAGATTTAGGAAAAGGAGTATTCCTTTTGCATTTATTCACATTTCATTAGTCCTGGGGCACTGGTACAAGAACCTCCCACGCTGCTGATCTAGCCTCAGGAGTCCCATAGGAGCATTCCCAGCTGATTTCTCTGTGGAAACAGAGATATATGTCTCAATAAATACTAGATCCCTTCAAAACTAAACATACCAGGGCTCAGAAAGAGAAATCAGCTCACCTGCTCTCCCAGGCAGAAGATTAAGCTCCTCCAGCTTTGAAAGGACCCTTTCTCCACTGAGACACCCTTGACACTGGTGCACAGTGAAGGATTGCTGGCACCTCTGTCTAGCTGTAGGGTCCTTCAGAGGACACTAACCAGCATTGAGAAGGCCACTGGCTGAGGTCAGACCCCACAGGCAGCAGGGTCACTTACTCTACAGAATAGCCTCACTTCAGTTGTTTGTGAGCTTTGCCCTTCTCTGCTCCTCATCATCAGAGCTATTTGCTCTCCCTTTTCTCATCTGTCCTGGACTGTCAGGATGGTGGGTGGTGAAGACAACAAGCTCTGTTGGTGGAGGCAGGTGGAATAAGCTGACTGAGCTGCAAGAGAAGCTGTTCCTCCTGGTGACCCACCACAGAGACACCAGAGGTGCCTAACCCTAACCCGTGTTTCTCATTTCCCCTGTAGCCACAAGATGGAGCATCACCATAACAAACAGCTCTCTAGAGCCGCCAGACTTAGGTGACGGGACATTTCATCACAGTTCTGGCACATCCTGAGGCGCAGGCAGCCCTGGTGGGATGCTGCAATAGCCCAAGGCGAGTACTTGGCCCATGGCGGGCAGGAGCAAGCTCCCATAGCCTCTTAGCCCATGTCCCAGGTGAGATGCAGGAAGGCCTCATAGCAGGACCAAGGAGTTCAGACATACTGTCAGCCCCCCCATGGCAACCTTAATCAAGCACACTCTAGTAGTAAAAGTTTTTCCAACACCCTACCAAGGCTCCGTACACTGCTCTGCTGTGGCCTGCGTTGCCCAACTTCCTGCTGTTTCCTTCTGGCTGGCTTCTGAAGCCTCCTCCATAGCACAGAGCTAAAGCAGACCTTCTGAAACAGAGAAAATCCAGGGTCCTGGAGACATGGGAGAGCAGGTGGAGGTGAATGAAACTGAAAAGTGGAGGAGACTTGAAGGGAGAAATCAAGGAAGAAAGCAAGGAGTCCATAGCGATGGATGCTGTCTCTTCACAAGCAGAATTAAGTACTTTTCTCACTGGTTAGATTCTGATTTAGACCAAGAAAAAAACACCATATCTCCACTGCACAGCCTTGTTTAATGCAACGGGTACTTATCTAGCTTCTAAACTGGAAGGATGTCAGCAGTGGCATAACTGACAATCTCTCAAGAGCCAGGACAGACAGCTTAAGAGCCAGGACTATGGCACTGCTGTCTGTGGTATGGTCCAGTGTCAGGACACAACAACAGACCAACAGTGCCTTGGGATGGCTGGCAAAGCCTGGCACTGCAAGGAGAAGGGTGGGTCCCAACCAGGGATATGTGCATGGTGCGAAGGGGAGGTCTGCGTGCAAGTAGCAATATAGCCATGTCCTCAATACTAGCAAAAATAAGTACATGGAACAGTTCCTTTGTCAGGAAGAAGGAAAAGGTGGTGCAGTCAGCATCTGAAATTGCACAAAGCAGCAAGTGCTTCACACACTGGTGGCATCAGTGACATACACAGGGGTACAAAGGACAGAGCAGAGTTTGCATGGTGTAGCCCTCTTCTCCCTTGTCTGCAAGAAAAGAGACAGACCTCCTCTCCTTGAGGACTTCATGAAGAGTCCTGTCCCATTAGCACAGAGCAAAGCCTGCAGTAAGAAAGTGACCCTGACTTCCTACAGCTTTCTTGCATCACAAGTAAGCTATTGACCAACAGTCTTGGAGTCCTTCATGGACTATCCATTACACTGCTCACTGGGTTTAATTTTCTCCTCTCCATCAGCCCTCAGCATCACCCTTTTTCACCCTGTGAAAGGAGAGGAGTCTTCACACCTTGTCCCAAGTGCATTTGTACCTCCTGCATGCCTTTCTGGCCATTTCTCCACAGATCCCCCCTAAAAAACATCACGAGGAAGTTTGCTGGAATAAAAAAGTGGAACAACCACTGCTGGTGCCTGGACTATGATGTGCCAAGCTGGCATTGCTTCTTTCTCATCCTCCCATTTCCAAATCATCTTTCTCCAGATTCCTATCCACATGGGGCTTTGTGCAGCAAGCAGGCCCAAGGAGGCATGCTTCTGGTGAGGTGGGCAGCACTTAGGTAGCATAAGAGTATGAGTATCAAAGAGAAAATGAGAAAGAAGAGAATGCTCCAAGTATGTGAAGTGGAAACTTTGAATGGGGAAGACAGAACATCCGCTCCAAGCACTGGTGGCAGTATCAGAAGTGAAACCTAGCTGAGGAATGCAATGAAGTATCGTTTACTCAGACTTTCTATCATGTTTTTTTTTTTCCCCTTGGTAGTGTTTCTTCTATTTTTACTTCAGTAGAGTCATTTTGAGTGAAATACCATGGGGAAACCCCAAGCACTATTTTTTTCTCTTATCTCCTATCCCCCACTGCTTTCACAGATGCAGTTTGAATCCAGCCAATATAATCCTCAGATTTCCTACCTATGGGCTATGCAGAGGACCAAGAAAAACTACCCTTTTGGCACTGCTTTCCCCCTTTGGTAAGAAGATTGAAAACACATGTGCAAGGGGGGAAGAAAAAGAAAGAATAAAAAAAAAAAAAAGAGAGAAATTAAATATTTTTCCCCCCTTCCTACCTAATCAAAATCAGTCCCTGACACTCTTCATGGGCACATGTCCTGTTCCCTAGGGGTATAAACAAATTTTAGAGTAAATCCTGTATTTTCTTTAAAATACCAACTGGAAATGAACATATCTCATCAACATTGAAAATCAATGACCTCGTTTTTCCTTTTGGTATCATGAAAAGTAATGGAAACAATGACAGCAACAGCTTAGGATTTAGCTTAAAGCACATTTTAACAGCTTATACTATCCACAGATGTTACCTACAGTCAATAAAACCATGTCTTGTAGAATAAAAAAGACAAAGGTCTGTAAGGGCAGAATTTCCTTCTCTGTCACTGGATACTGTTTTGAATGGGTGACTCAGAGGCACTAGTCCCACAAAGCATTTACATCCTTAAATGAGCTCTGCGTGACATACTATATACATATTGCGTGTACGCAGACCCAGCGTGGGGAGACAGCTGCCGTAATGGAAATATGTGATGAAACCGAAATCAGCAGCACTTCATGCTTCCTGGCATCCTGACAAACCATTTGCATGCAGCTCACTCCACTGCCTCCAAAAAACAACACAAGGCTCAAGGATTCTACAAGCTGAGAAGGAAGAAAAGTCACCAAGCAGAGCTAGACACAACCCAAAGGTAAGATGGTGAGAAAGAATATTCCACTGTAGTAAAACCTTAACAGCTTTTCTCTTGCTACAAGAGCTGAAAACTAAATATATTTGATATAACTTGCTTTGTTTATAGCATATCTACTATTCATTCTTAAGAATGAACAGAGCTACCCTTTTTGTTCATGCTTTAAAAATGTTTTCAGCTTTGCTTACAGATCTACACAACAGACTCTGGTCTAAAATGCCTTTTTATCATAAGTAGATTTTTCTCAGGTAAAAAATCTTGCTATGAAGCTGAAATCCTATTTCTCTGTAATGGGTTCCCTCCCAGTGTTAGACTCAAAGTGTTTCATTTGATGGAGGGGACTCAGCAGAGCAGCATATTGGGCAGTGTCTCTGCCCAGGTCACCAGTTGAACCCCTCATCTGCCATGGGACACAACCCAGCTCCCAACAAACTCCCCAGCCCCGTAACTGCAGGAGGGTTGAACTCCCAGGCAGTGAACAACCTGCAGCGTAACAAGGGGTACTTCTCCCCTCCAGCCTCTCAGATTCCCAGGTGCTTCACAAACTCATGTTTTTATTTTCTATCTGGGGAGGGGAAATGCATTATTTCCCCTCCAACCAGCCTCAGTCCCCCCCAGATGGCAGCAGAGCAGGTACTGCTGGCAGGGTTGCTGCTGCACTGAACCATGTCCCCCCACCATGCCTTATAGGCAGTGGTGCTCTGCTGGAGGAGGCTTTACACAGCCAGCAGCATTGCCAACTGCAGGGAACTGAATAAAACCTGTACCTGCTACAGCAGTGGATGGAACCCTCTATCTGACACCACTAGATGGATGCTTTCCTGCACCCATAGCCCTGCCAGCACCCCATTCTCCTCATCAGGCTGGGTTTCTACCCCTGGTTTTCTCACTTCTGCAATGTAAACAAGTATCTTGCAGAATCATTCATCTGGCATCAGTGTGTCCTCAAGAAGCAAACAGCCAAACTGCTCTGTCTTCTTAACAGTAACTGCTAGGTTTTAAGAAATAATTACATTTCCTCTTTGCTGACACTAATCCCCCTCAAATCACTGTGCAGGACAGCCTTAGCTCTGAAATATTCACGGAGTAACTTGATCTGCAGAACAGGAACTTTGTGCATTTGAAAACAGGTTCACAAGTCTGAAATGAAACAGCACCAAGATCAGTAACTCATACAGGAAAGGCACTAGGTGGAAGTAATAACAATTAGAGAGCAGCAGATCAAATGTAATTCCTGCATGCTGACAGAAAGATCTCTGAAAGGCTTTATTTACAGGTTACATTTGCTGTGACGGAAGTGGCTGGAAGAAAGGACCAGCTAGTCCTGTGAATTTGCATTTTAAGTGATTCCGGCTGATTCCAGCATTGCAGAAACCAATGAGAGCCTTCCCGGTCCTTATCAAGAGAGTTTCAGGGCAGGATCAAACCGGCACCCTTCCTCTGAAGATTACTCCATGACCCCTTCTCACAGGGTGCCTACCTCAACATTTTTAGTTCCCTCTTTGTGGAGGAGAAACGAGCTGTTTTCTGCAACTCCTGTGTCTGCAGACACAACTTTATCTGCTGTGGTAAGTCTGGCTGCTTTAGACAAAACCTCGGGTTCTTAAATCTCCTTCTGCTTCTAAAGATTTGACCCTTTCTAGAAATAGCCTGTTTGAAACTTCCTGGCTGCTGCTTTTAGCAAGTTTGTCAGAAGGGACAGAGGTAATCACAGCAAGTGGTGGCTGGAGAGGGTGCAGAATGCCAATGACCATTTGGGATCTTCACATTAATAAATATGCAGGACCCTTCATGCTTTTGATTTGCCAAAATCTCTTATAATAATCTGATTCAGGAAACCCGATTCAGCTAATTGCTTCTATCCCCATAATCCAAGTAACCCTAAAATCAGGGGCTGCTTCCCTGGCTTTGCAAAGAGGTTGCAACACTCCAAGGGGATGCTGCAGTCACATCTATATTCTGCCTAGCCTAAATTATAGAGCAGCAGAGTTTGGGGTAACAGTGCCAGTGAGGCTTGGACCTCAGAAATCCTTGCTTCTCTCTGAGGAACAATCTTGCCCCAAGATACCTTGGCAATGATAAGCTCTGTGTTACTGGCAGCTGCAATTCGGCACACAGAAGCCCAAGAGGAAAAAACATCTCTATGGACACAAAGACCTCATTTGCCTTTGTACCATGTCTTAAATGTGATCTTTTTCCTTTCTTTGTGATGAAGGTGATTTTCTTCTCTTCCAGCTGGAGAATACCTCTTCATACCTGGAGATATGAATGAGACCCATGCCAACACCAACATCAGCAGTATCAGTGCTACTGTGGAACTATTCCAGCTCATCATGTACACCCCCATATTCACTGTGGGATTGCTGTTCAATGTGATGGCTTTGTCGTTCCTGTTTTTTAAGGTTAAAAAGCTTTCAGAGTCTACAGTCTACATGGTAGCCCTTATTTTCCTGGATACTTTGTTGCTGTTTACTCTTCCTTTTAAAATCATTTCCTACCACCTTCAGGATCAGTGGAACTTGGGATCTGTGTTTTGCTCCACCTTGGAGAGTCTTTACTTTGTAAACATGTATGGCAGCATCCTCATTTCCCTCTGCATCTGCGTAGACCGGTACATTGCCATCCGGCACCCTTTCACAGCTCCCACCCTGCGATCCGTCAAGAAAGCTGCTATGGTCTGTGCTATCATCTGCCTGGGCACCTCAGCCGGGACAGTCTCTACTTTCCAGCTGCATGGAAAGGGCCACAATATCTCATCCTGCTTCCATAACTTCTCCAAGAGCACATGGGAAAATGCAGGCCTGTTCAGTGCCTTGGAGGCCACCTTCTTCGTCAGCATGGCAACCATGACCTTCTGCACTGCTCAGACCGTCAGGTGCCTAAGAAAGCACAGAAAACCAGATAACCCCCAAACACACACCACGAGGGCAGAGATGATAGTGGTGACAAACCTTGTGGCATTTCTGGTCTGCTTCACACCTTACCACGTGGCATACTTCCTGTACTTCTTGGTGAAGAATAACATCATTCACACCAGGTTTCAGCAGGTGCTACGAGACATCCTTCAGGTCACCCTTTGCTGGGCAAACCTGAACTGCTGTCTTGATGGGACATGCTATTATTTTGTTTTAAAGGAGTCAATGGAAGACCCATTGCAAAACACTGTATACAGAGTCACATGAAAGCTGTGATCCACATGCTGCATGTTAGTTACTTGTGATGTGTCTGAGGTTTTCATGGGAAATTCAGGGTCCTGAACTGCTTATGTAAGCAATTTATTTTAAATATTCAAATCTGAAAATAGTTCATAAGAAACAGAACTAAGTCCATTCCCAGGGGACTGCTCTTAACTTTTTTTTGTTTTCTTCCATAATGTTTTGTGTTAGCATTTATGGGTAAAAAGAAATGGAATTATCTCTATAAATGATGATGCATGTCTTTTTAGATGTGATTCCTCTTTACTTTGTATAAAACCAAAACAAATAATCACTTACATGGGGTAGGATCTTTCAGCCTCCTTGTCTACACTTCACCTGCAAACCTTCTTCAGGACTTCAGCCACTACAGACTTGGGCTGCTGAGAAACAGACTTGGAAGTAAAAAGCTTCAAAACTAAATTCTGTTTAGTCCGTGGATAGCTCAGATTAACTACCCCAGTTCCAGGCTTCCTCACCAGCTCCTCTCCTACTCACAGGTTTTTCACATATCTGATCCTTCCTTCTTGGTTACAAACCTAGCTTCATAAACAGAGCCAAAACTAACAAGAACATGAAGTTAAAAGCCCAATGTAGTAGCAAATACGTGATTCTGAAGGAACAACACCCACCTTACTGAAGGTTAAGAACAGCCCTGATCCCTAAAGCAGCAGCCAGCAACACAGGATCCCAGGGGGAAAGCAACCTTTCAAACCTTGGAGCAAGCTGAGCACTAATAATAAACAAACCAAATAAACAAGGCAATAAAAAATTAATCCACCAGCAGGAGCCTAATGTGCCAGTCAGTTACTTCTTAACAGTGCTTATAGGCGTCTAGATAAACTGAATGACAACATGCATCCAGCCTGGAGAAAGGCAGCTCACTGCTCAGGGTCACCCAATTGCTGCCTTTCCTGAGTGATGAGGATGCCGACAACTGAAGCAGATTTCATGGTCATGTTGAGCTGGATCCTTGCAATGCCTCTCGTAGGCAGAGGTACTAATCCCAGTCTTTGAATTGTCTTTTCTCTGTACACTTTGGAGAAGGGCAACACACAAACTGTACATTGATTTCTTCCCCAAGCAGGTGACTGCATTTGGAGACTCCAGCTCTTAAAAGTGAAATTTTCTAAGTTGTTACTTCTGTGTATGAGATTGTACCAAACAAGTCCAGCTGCTGAGGAGGCAAACACTCACCAAACATAGATATAAGTGTGTGCTGCTGTTTACAGAGTTGTTTTAGTGTTCAGACAATGAACCGTGCTTCTGAGGTTACAAGGGCTGTGCATTTTGACTAATGTCTCACTCATGTTCAAGTGCATGAAAATAAAACCCACCAGGATATTCCAGCAAGAATTCCCTCTCCATATCAATTGCCATTTCCATTTGTTCCCTCAGAATATCTAACTTCTCTGCTCACAGATACTGAATCCTCATCACATCCTTGCTTATAACTTACCTCTTAACTAACTGCACTCCAATAGACACCAGGGTTTTACCACTGCAACTTAAGGTCCTTTTGGAAGCAGAGTTAATAAAAAAACACAAGAAATGCAGAAGATATCTTTTACTTCTCAAATCAGTGGGCAATGCCAAGAGGTCCTCCACTTATATGATGCCTGAACATAGGTAACAGGGATTTTGTCACTACCTCTAGAGGCAGAAAATGCCAAAGTATGAGAGAAAACTGATCTCAATTGCTTTTCTACAGTCTGTGGTACGTCCATTAGTTTTACCAGTGTGTCTTTGGGCCTACACTGTTACAACTGAGACTAGAAGCTTGCCTAAAGTTCTGGTTTTCCTCTGTTGCTCAGCTTCCCCCCCCCCCCCCCCATTTGTAAGTGTGTATGTTCTTTCTTACTTGTTTCCCTGCTGTCCTTGATTCCACATCATACAGTAACTTGCACTGCCATTTCATTTAGAGTTCTGAATTTAGGAATTCAGGGGTTCTTGGCTACCTACCTCAGCAATAACATCCTGTTAGAGGAGGCAGGTATGCTGACCAACTTAAGCATAGTTGTAATTGTATAAGGGACAAGTTAAAGCCATTTCTTTTTCTCTCAAGCTTCCCCCCTATGTTTTTTCAGTGTTTCTGGCCATTGGAGGTTGAGATGTGGAAAAGCCTAGCAGTGAAACTTAAACTTAGATCTCCACTATCTGTGTACATATGTCCTTTGCTTTCCACATTTCTGTTCTTCTGGTACAGCTATTCTCTTGTGTTTCAGGCTCAAGAAGTATCTGTTTGGATTGAGAAGGGACAAGGTTTAAGAGAAAACATCACTGATGATATTAGCATATAAGCACAGAAATCCCAATCAAAAAAAAGAAAGAATCGGCACAGGCACCAGGGATGCAGTACTTCGTACAGATTTCACTATTGCCTTTAATGTTTTATGAAAGATATTCACATACAATGAATGGAACAAAATATTTACCATGAGCAATGCCACATGGTAAATACAATTGTCAGTGATAATGAGAAAAACCTCAGAAAAGTAAGTCTCAAGGTAAATGTATAGGCTTTTATAGAAATCCTCATATGCATATACTCCTCTCAAAGCATTTTCAGCATTTCTATTGCCACTAGAGAGGGTTAGAACTGTCCTTTGTTTTCTCTGCAGAAAGACAGTGCCATGAGCTAAAGATGAATTTATAGCACTCCAGATGCTAGGAAGAAGCCTTCTGAAAAAAACTGCACAGACAAGAAGTGTGAAATAGTTAATTTTGCTGTGAAAGTGGAGTACTACAGACAGGCACATACAGAAAACACACCCCAGCTCTCTTCACAGTTATTTCCCCACAGAGCAAAGCTGTTTGTATGCTCTTTTCATCTGTTACATTTCCTAGCGGTATGAGATCAAAGTCTTATAAACAAGTAAAAACGTTCTAAGTGACACAATAAAGTGATGGAGCATTTCCATTGCTGACCTGGGTGTGACAGAGACACATAAAGCCCTGAATGTGCCCAGTTCCGGTGGGAGGATACTCTGACTCACAGGCTCAGCCTGTGCATTTTGCTCCTAGATTTGCAACAGGCCATGTAAAGCTACAATGCAATCAAGTGCTCGAAGTCACCTTACTCAGTCCTGTCTTCACAGAACAGCTAAGGTTGGAATGGACCTTAAGATCATCTAGTTCCAACCCCCTGCCATCCCCCCTTCCCCTTTCACATGCCTCTATCTTCAGCTTTTTGAAGGCACTGAAATCTCTAGAAAAGCTATTTTGGGTTTCTTCTTACTGAGAAACTTCTACCATAGCAACCAATTCTAATGAAACATTGTCTTTAGCTACCAAGAAAGGGAAAGAACACCTATAACCTCCTTCATTTTATCTCTGTTCTTCTCGTTTTGATTTTTATACACTCTTACTCCATGAGAATGACATTTACAATATCATCTAATGTGATAAAAAGGGTTGCTGCTAGATACTGATACAACCAAAAACCTATGAGGAATCAGAAATATTTCCCAGGAAAGTAAGATGAATCAGTGCCATTTACAGACACCAAAGGATGTAGAACCTCACATCTGCTGTATACTACTGATTCCTATTAATCCTTATCTCTATTCCAAGACAAGTATTAAACTGAGATCACAGTTGAGAGCAAATATCAGCAGTTTAGAGTTACAAACACTGTGAGGTAATTGTTAATCTAATACTAAGCATTACAAACCCAGGAAATCCAGTTTAGATTACACTCCAGAGTACACCAACACAATCCTAACCATTCCCTGTTAAGTATTAACTTTGTGACTACAAGTAAGGCCACCTCTCAGAAACTAGCATTTAACCTGGTCCCACCTGGCCAGCCATAGGATCTGAGACAATGGACACCGTCTGCAGAGACAGACAGCATTTGTAACCTACTCTGTGCTACAATGGGAAGACAAAATGTAACCCTACACACGGTAGTAATACTGAGACCTGTAATGGTCCTCTCCTTTTACAACAGAGAGGTAAGAATTGTATGTTCCCTTGTTTTGTAACAACCGGGCAGAAATCAAGCAGTACCACTGAGTCTTATCCTAGATTTAATTTCTGGACATAATCACGCCATTCATATGGTCATTATATTTGATTCTGTTGAAGCTGTAGGTTATTGCTCTCTCAAGTTAGCCTGTATCACTTGCCTTGGGATGCCTACATACACCACATACACTTATCACAGAACATCTTTAAAAGATACGCCAAATCTCTCACCCGGTTTTGGGCAATCAAAGAACTCACCCTGTGGGTAGACATACCCAGTCTAACTTTTAGTCTATCAGGTTGGTGCCTAACTTGAACAACACAGCAGCCGGACTCCCATACTGAAAACTATCTTGTTTACATCAGATAAAAGGCTTGTATTTCCAGAACTCCGCTTATTTTCAACATTATTCTGAGTCACATTAGACTTACAATCCAGCTTCTGCCTCATGTTTACATGTCCTTCAAACACAGATGCAAACAGAACCCCATACATCACAATCTCTCTTACCAAAGTTTGGGCAAAACTACTCAGGGTACAAATTATCATCTGCTAGGATAAATACAAGACGTCAAAACAGCAAAGCTTGATGGTCATCCTGACAGGGAGCCGAGAGGAAGGAAGCACTTTGCTGGTCAGTTCAAGAACATCTAGAAAACTCTTGCAACATTTTGACTGGTGATGAAACCAGCACACAGTAGGCATTCCGCAAATTCAAGGAGATGAAGACATGGCACAAGGAGCCTGTCGCAGGTAACATACCAGCCACAGAGTAGAGCTGTGTTGGAAGAGGCCCACTGGAGCAAAGGGGCAGTGGATCAGGGGAAAACCCACAGCACGGGGGGAAGAAATGGGGTTCAAACATGGCTGGGAACAGCACATGGAAATTTAAGCTCTTGAACAGCTACATTTGCCCTTGAGGACCCTGTCAGAAAGGTAGATCACCCATGTAACTGGTATTTTCTGTATTACTGCACCCCACTCTCCATTACAACCACATTCGCTCAACTTCTGCTGCATACTTAATCCACCCAAAGTTAGAAACCCTTTTCTATAGCACAATCAGTTGCTGTGGAAATGAGCCCAGTACCTCAGAGGATTAGAGTCTGGAGGGTCTGATTTAATTGCACTGCCTGGACAGACCCAGACTTCAGTGGTCAATGTCCAAATGAGGAATGAGTAATAGGGATGGATCAGCTCTTGAGAAACAAAAAGTCCCATTTTCATGCAAACAGCATTCACTAGAACAACAATGAAGGAGAAATAAAGAAAAGTCAGAA